CACATAATCCAGCTTAGATCGTCCTTTGGTCGTGCTTTGCCTTGCTACCAAGGCGGGCTCAAAAAACGAGAAAGGCAAGAACATGGGTGGGATCTTAACCCGTTTTTCAACCACATTACCCACTCGGGCATTGAAACTGCTCCCGATGATCTGAGTAACGTCCATGACAGTAGTGGTTGTGAAAGGTGCTTATAGAAGCAATGGCAGTGGGCTGTCGGAGTTAATATTGCTATTAGAAAGGAGGCTGAGGCAATGCTATTTGGGGAAGGTGATGATTGATCGAGTAAACTGTGGTGTAGAATTTTCATGTTGTTCTCTAGTGGTTGCGGGAAAAAGTAGCACAATAAGCTTGTCATGGTTCACCATATTTTAATAAAATTTTCTGTGTGATAACAAAGACTAACAGGTATGGCTAGTAGGCGCTCAACGTTGTGCAATCGGTAGTCTTTCCGTTCCGCGTGCTCACCATGAAGTTTTTTGTCGAGCTCATCTTCCTGAACTGGCCGTAGGGTACAGAAACGAAATGCGGCCCAGCATTTCTTCTGTAATTGATATATCGCTAGAGAATCTTCTTTATAAGGATAAAAGTTGCCTTGCGATCAGCTTCTTACCTAGTAAATCACATGGAAAAGTCATTAATTTTGCAATAATATAAGCTAAGTCCTTGATGACAATTATAGTGAATGGTATACCAATAAGGCTGATGATGATTGAAAGAATACGTCCAGCTTTAGTGACGGGATAGATGTATCCGTAGCCGATGGTAGTAATGGTAGAGAATACCTCAACAATATGAATTAATCAAAGGAGAGACTCAATTAAGAGCTGCGAACAAGGGGCTGGAAGGGGAGCTGTAGCTAGCGTGATTTGAGAAGTCGGACCTGAACGATTTACCTGGCGTCGTGCATTTGTTATGGGTCAGCTAGTGGTAACTGCTCTCACCCTCTTGCCCTTGCCTGGATGCACGGAAATGCGGACTTAAAGGCAGTTGGCACGATAATTCCCTAAAGACGAGTAGGATTAATATCCTGGCAGGACAGAATTCCGCGCCCCTGAGCAGGCGCTGGGTAGTGCCCTTTCTAAGGAAGGTAACTTATTAATGGGGCCCTATCAGCTACAACAATACCCGAACCCGCGCACCCGTTTGCCCGCCCACAAATTGGACGACCGTTCCCGACGGCTCGTAATTGTATTCATTCTGCTGAGCACATTTGAAAGTTGAAGGGATTGGTTATGAAGCCGGTGGGCGGTGCTGCATGGATATATGAGTACACACATGCAGCCGTATCTTCGGTAGCGGGTTATTGGCAAGATGCCTACGGAAAACTCGTCCGAAATTGATTTTTAAGTCATTGGGAACGAAAGCTCTTTCTTCGCAGGATTTTGACCGTTTCACTCCGTTCTTTCGCCATTTTCCCCTATATATAGCGCCCTGCTAGCATTTTAGGCCGACTACCAAATTATCGTACCTACTACCTTAAAAGGCACTCTCTGCATTCATTTGATGTCGAGAGTTCGGCGACGGGGTGGGGGCATTTTGCACTTTTGCTGCTTCCCTAGTTCCGGTTTTGAAGTCTCACTATGGTTGGTCTTGTGAAGCTGGAGTAAGCTCGTTGAGTCACCGGGTGAGACCTATCAGCTCTTGTAAGCCCATGGAATAGCCCTCTAGATGGGTCCACACGTGATGGGAAGCAGCAGAAGCCACAAATGGGAGGAGAGGGGGTGGGACTTGCTTGCGCCGAAGGCGACGCCCCGCCTACTGCCCAAAGCAACGCCTAACTTTCATTTCTGAAGGCTTCCTACTACAGCGCTTGCACTTAGTTCTCTCCATTTCGAGTAGTAAAAGTGAGGTGATCAACTTATAACTCTTTTTGTGAAATCGAGACGCTAAGGTCGGGTTATGACTGTGGATCGAAATGGCTTCGCTCATCTTTCATGTTATGAATAATGAGCGTCTTCTGTCTCATGTCTTAGAACTCGTGCAGTCCCTAGAGATGTTTTTTTTTGTTTGGTCCTTTCGTAAAATAACACAGTCCAAAGTGCATCGAATAGCTCGTCGAAAGTCAGTCTTTCAAAAGTAAGAGTCAACTTTCTAAAAAGAACAACTCAGTGATGAGAAATGAACTTACGAAAAGCAAGGAGTTGGTGAAAGTACATGGCAGTGAAGGCATTGGTGGACGTAATTGCAACTGCTTCTCGTAAACAGCTAGGCGTTCATTCATGATCGTCGTGAGATATTGCGATTTCTGATCATGTATATATAGAAGTAATTTTGTATTATTGAATATTTCAGGCAATAGTTCTTTCACCACGAATCTGAAAAATCCGAATCTGAAAAATTGGAAAAAAGCCATATTTGAGGTTCTGAGGAATTCGGATCATTCACCATTAACGACCCTGCTCTTCGAAATTGGGCCGGGTCTTTATCAAAATCTGCATGAAAGTGGATTTGGCTAGAATTTTGTCCCCGGTTGGAAACTGACTTCCTGAGCACGACTATCATACCGATTTAGCACAAAAATTGAAACCCGCCGTAAGTTGCGGGCTCCAAAACGCCTGGCACCACTAAATTTGCTAAAAGCTTGTTCTGAGGAATAAAAAAAATACAGATGCACATCCGCTTGGTGCGAAACGCATAGTACGCGCGCTACAAGTCAGCCCTAGTGCCGGTCCCGTATCACCAACAAATTGTGTTTCCATGGAAAACTAATATG